AGGATCCAAATAGAATAAAAAATTTAAAATTCTCTTAAAGTTGTAAATTGGAGGCAAGGGTAGAACCTGGAGCAGCATATGTCAACACCAACTTATACTATAATATATTACCTTTAGCAGCCAGGATTAAACAAAGAACATCCTGGTTCCTGGGGTTGCTATTAACATGATCCTAGCAACAGTTTCTTTGACCACTTTTGGATTACTGCTGGGGAATTGGATTGCTACTTGCAGATGCCATCAGACTGTCTAGAGATTTTAAAGACAGAATGAACAAGTGCCTTTTGTTATCATTCTTTGAGCCTTTTGCTTAGCAGTTTCTGCAAGCTCCAGTGCTGTCCCTCTCGAGTGAGGCTGCTGCTGTGGAGAAATCCTGTTGTCATTCAATCCAAAAATACATTAATTAATTCATGATTTAATTCAATTCAAAAACACTTTATCCCAAAGTGGAATTTTAAACTGCTGTGATATTATAGGGGTTTCTTTAACAATATGGAAGCAAATGTTGCTTCCATACTAACTGAGCAATGAATTAGACAAGGACCTGAGGGAAAAGTATAACTTGACTCTCATTTATCTCTTATAGTGGTCTGTAGTACAGCAAAGCTGAAAAAAATCTGCAGCTCTATCAGTCTTGCAAAGAGGACTTGAAAGGTTATCCGCTATTTCGTTCTTAGAAAGCACTCCTTTTTAATTAACTATTTTTTAGCTGCTCCAGAACAGTTTCCAAAAGAAGACTTTATCAACTTGTTTTTTGGTCGATGGCTTTTATACTGCTACCTGAAAAAGATGATGACAAAAGAAACTGCAGACTCCACTACAGACTTGTAGAAGATATGCCGCACCTTCTTGCAAACAAAGTCCACCACTTTTCACTCTGGGAAGATATGCTTATCTAAAGATTTTTTTAGCCAAACAGTTCAATATTACAGGATGAGCAAGGTTAATTTAGAGTGTCCCCGATAAAGCCTTTAGAATTATTGGATATTTCTATGTGTGGCAATATTTCGGCATCAAATGTTTACATATATTTATGAATTAATGCCATGAACCATCACATAGAAGAACAAACAGAACTGCAGAGCTACTTGGAGATACAGCTTAATATCTTTTAGATATCCCGGCACATTTATGGGCAGTATTTTTATTCTTTTATCATCCTTTTTTAAAAACTATTTCAAGCTCTTTTTTGGTTTGCCGTTCTGCCAAAATGTGAAGTCTTTTTCAAGCTTTAAATGAACTAAACTTACCTGACAAGTTTCTAGTTTTAAAATCTGCTGTACTCTCAAATGTGCATGGATTCCCAAATTAGTAGGAGGATGGTTGACAATGGAACCCGCAATTATTAAAATAACTACCTGCTGAAGCAAAACAGATCCCTGCTGAAGAAAACATACCCATAGCATGACATTGCTATGGTAATAAGAACAATTAGGGGTAATGGTTCTCTTTTACAAGGTCTATCCAGGTTGATGTCACAAAAAATAAGCTAATAATGTTACATTTTAGTCTTATCTGCCCACTGAAATTTGTCCAAAAATGCAATTTCTCTATTACACACCTGCATCTAAAGACAGAATAATTTTAGTATTCAGGTGTGAAAGAGATGTAATGCACTGAGCTTTGTTTAATAGATGCACACCGCACTCAGTCTAGTTGTAAGAAAAAAAAGAAGGGAGATGGTGGAATTTTCTTTTATTTGGACAAAATTTGAAATTGCCTTGCATATTGCTTAAGTCTATTAACCTAAAGCACTATGCATGGTATGGTTGTTGCATGTCAGGTGCGCTGGTCATTGACCTTGACCAAGGAACCTTACAGTTGAACTGCAGTCAGTCCCTGGACTGGCATGGCTATCACTGCACCTACATAGTTAGGGACCAAAGCAGAAGACACATTTCCCACTGGGATCAGCTTCATAGTCATGGTAGGCCACTTTGATTTTATTTATTTTGGTCAGGCTACTCATAAGCTCGCAGCCCGCCAAATGTTGAAAGCGCAATATTATTGCCATTATTGTTAAAAGGAGAAGTTTCACACCTTCAGTAATAAAATGCCACAGGTGATGGTATGGGGGATGGTATTTAAGAAAAGGGATGATTTTTAAGATTTCTTACAGAAGGGGGACGTCATCCCCCCTCAACTTGAATATCACACTTATCAGAGTTTAATTTTTAAAATAATTTGAAAAACATTGTATCCTTCTATTAACACTATTCATGTAAATTAATCAATGAAAACAATGTTTCTGGTAAAATTTTGACAAACCGTAAACAGGTTTTTAAGTGTTAATTACAAAAATAAAAGTTAAAATCAGCAAATGCATAAATCTCTGAGTTTATAGCTTCTGCTTTTTAAGGTCTCTATAAAACTCTGGGGAGAAGCAGAACATAACTTTGTTAATTAATAATTAAGGAGCTATTTGTCTATGTGGGTGTCAAAAATCACCAGACTATATCTGATGTGATGTAGCTGAACCTTGTTGCTTGAGTTTACAGTGTTTCCACCTGCAGAACACCGTCTCAACACCTTTGTTCCATGTGAGCGTAAGTCCCACAAGGAATTTAATTTGTTTCCTGCAAATAGCTTACAATTCATAGGTGTGTTAGAAGATGTCTACTTGAGTTACTGCACTACTTCAAATGCCTAAAGCTATTAGACTTCTCATGAAGCTGTGCCAGAGCACTGTGCTATCAAGGCGGCATAAATCTAGAACCACAATGAAGAGTCTCACAGGAGAACACATTTTGCTTTACAATGTAATTTCCTACTCTGTAATGAGTTTTACTTTATTAACTTTTTATATTTGGATTTGATGAGAGCAGTAAGAAGCCTCTCATTATGCTCCGTTTTTCAAAAGCTCTTGTTACTGTTGTGAGACAGCAGTCGCTTTAGGTTTTTTTTTTTCTTAGATTACAGCTGGCTTGTGTTGCTTTTCAAGATGGCAATGAGTCAGGAGCAGAAATGTGTAATTCCCTGACTGAAGCTCCACGACTCTGAAAGATTTACAATAATGGTCTGTAAATTACCGAGTCAGCTCATTAATTGTCGCGGGGAGGAAAAAAAGAAGAAGGAGAAAATTTGATTATAATAAACTTCAGTTCTTTGTTCTTCTTCACGGTAATATTTGACTAAATTGTATGAGCATACAATTATGGACTTTTCTCGCCATTGCCACAGTTTAAAGGGGTTGCAATAAAAGTTTTTCTTCAGTCCTGTACAGACTTAGTGTTAAGTTCTCATTGGGGAAATTTTAGAGGCCATTTACACCACACTGAGACTGCATCAAGGAATTTGAAATCCAGCAAAACATTAATGATCTCAGCGGGGTCTAAGGGATCATCTGAGGAGCATCATAAATGTCTTTCCCATCAGGCAAGATGGACCATGTGTGCTCCCCAACTGTTTTGAGCATACACACTCAAATGAACAGTTTGCCTCCAAAACTGATTTGCAATGTATTTATAAATCATCCTTTAATCTTTTACCAGTTAATTCTACTTACAAAAACAATTATGTTATGTTTTAAATGACTTAAAAATAAGAAAAGTTAGAATTGCTCTATTAGAAATATATGACAATATAGAAAGATACTGGATATAGATTACTACCAATTTATATTAAATATCAGGATCAAAAACCTTTCATTTACACACATAGTTACCTGCTAACCCCCTGTGTTCGTCTAATTCAGTCCCAATAAAAATTTAAAATGTTTTTTTGTCTTAAGAGTTAATCTTTGTAGCTTCAGATTCAGATAAGTCTGCATAGCATTACCGGTCAGAACTGTTGCCTGTAGCTTCCATCAAGGCCTTGCTTCATTCCAGATCACATAAAATAAAGATTTGTCATCACACCTGAGCCCCCCACCCCAATAAAAGAAAACAAAAACATATAGAATACTTTTTACAACAAGTGTTAATTATGTAGAACACAAGTCTGTGTCAAATCTGAACTCTTCACTAAAACTTAAATCACAGCGTCTCCAATGGCCTTATAGATTGGAGTAATAAGCAGCTAACAGCAATTTGTAGAAAAAAAGAAAACAAAAACACAGATTTATGGTGCTTTGTAAATGATTCCACCTGAGTGCATTTGGCAAGACTTTTCTGCACATGAGTGATGATCATAATTATAATTATTACTCATGATGACACAGTTAGCAGTGTGCCACACATTTACACAGGAAACCTCCTCTAAAGCCTCCTCTAATGTTGCTGCTAAACGAATAAAAATTCAGATTATTTTTCCTCTTTAAAATAAGTTTTACATTTATGGTGGAGGAGTAGAGACCACTGTGATTTGGATGAGGAACCTTTGTTAAAAATACCAGCCTGGTCGGCAGTAAGGGAAAATGTGTTTGCATAGTAGAGAAAATGCAAAGAGCAAAGTCCTAGATTTAATACAATCTATCCATGTTAGAATAATACAGTGGGGGAAATAAGTATTTGACCCCCTGCTGATTTTGCAGGTTTGCCCACTTACAAAGAATGCAACAATCTACAATTTTAATCATATGTACATTCTAACAGTGAGAGACAGAATCCTAAAGAAAATTCCAGAAATTCACATCATATGAATTTATAAAAATTGATAACCATCTGATGAGGAAAAATAAGTATTTGACCCCCTGGACAAACAGCATGTTAATATTTTGTAGAAAAGCCATTATTGGCCAGCACAGATGTCAAACGGTTTTTATAGTTGGTGGCAAGGTTTGTGCACATTTCAGCAGGGATGTTGGCCCACTCCTCCCTACAGACAGCCTCCAAATCATTTAGGTGAAACCATGTAATGGAGATCCTGGACACAGTAAGGGTGGGGGTGCGGGTGTGTCTTATTCTGATGTAAACACCAGTGGTCCTACAAAACTTTGGGACAGTTGTTCTTTAACCCTCGCTGACTCCTTAGTAACACATTAACTGTAACCCACTTTGATGTTAAAACAGTCACTAAACTCCATTAAAAAAAGCCTCTGGCGAAACTGAGAATCAAACATGTTAAAGTATGAATACCTTTATGTTGAAATTGACAATATTGTACAGCATCATTGATCATTTTTCAAAGAATTTCTTTTTTTTTTAAGATATCAGCATCTTGTGGAGAAAAAAAAAAACTATGAACAGTGTGATGTGTTTACAAGGATCAAATTATATAAATATACAGTTATTTATAAATGAAACATAACCTTAACATGCAGACCCAGACCTGAAGACACACACACACACACACACACACACACACACACGCACTTTCTCTTAATAATCATATTTAAACAGTAACAATAGAAAATATTTACATCTGTGGAGTGAAACCATGTTCCTTTGTAAACAAAGACATTCAGTGTATGCATAAACATCACCACAGTTGAGTTATTTTCTAATCATAATTCTGTTTTAATCCTGTCATCGTGTTTGTCTGAAGTATTTGTCCTCCAGTCATCCCTTAACCACTTATTGAAAACAGCCACAGGGTCAATGTTCCAGTGTTTATGGAAGGAGATGGGGACCTGGTGAGCTAAGAGGTCTTTAGCATAGTCCTCTGGGCGTGCCTGAAAGCAAATAAGAAATCCAGTTATATTCATACTTCAAAGAAGCCACATCAAACTTTAATGATTAAATGGAATTAAAATGCAAAAATAAATCCAAGCATTACAATCTAAAAAAAACAAACAAACAGATCTATAAGTACTTGAATAACAAAAGCAATCAATTTGCTTAAATTTTTTCACTTTGGTTGCATTAAAACCATACATTTTCATTTAAGTCACTGGGATTCACAGTCAAAAGGAATGTTTAATTGTGAAGTTAAAAAAAGAATACAGATGGTGTCATTTTTTTTTAAGAGCTAAAATGTTTTTAAAGCGTTTGAGTTCAGTCCCACTGAGATTATCCTTTGTAGACCCATTTTTTTGCTGCAAGCCTTGAACTTTCTAAAAGTTTTGAAAATAGTGAATTTTTATTACCCTCCCAAAAAACTCCAGAGTGTCGTTTCGATCTGTGTCTTACTACCTTTATTTTTGATCTGCAATTGTTAAGAATAAAATTATTTTGTTGCCACCTCACAATTTTCCTCTGAGTTGCATTAGTCTGTAGTGGTCAATTGCAATGTGAAAATGTTTCCAGGGTGATTAGCCAAAATGTATCTATGTTCTTTAAAACATAGATAAAAGAAATGTATTATGAAACAAATGTTATAATAGATTTATTCATTTCATTCAATATGATATCTTTATACTAAAAATTAATACATAAAGGAATCATAAAAAGTGCCACGGCCGCTGTAATGAGACATCAGAAATGTATGCTTTATAATCTTATAGCAGTGGCCTTCCTTAGGTTTTAACGCTTTCATGTGGAAAATAGAAAAAAAACAATTACTTATCTTTAGAGGTGTCAAAACTATCAGTGTTTGTTACTCAAGTAGAAGTATAAATCCTACTGTTGAGAAAGCACTCTGTACTTTTTACACAAGTAAAACTAAAGTACAATTTTTAAAAGAAAATATGTTAAGCACAGATGCTTTAAACCTCTGATTATTGCACTGCCTTTTTATAGGAACACTTTAATACAATTCTGGATGATAACTTCCTAATACAGTACTTAATTTTCTCAGTTTTATAGCTAATGAAACTGTGTCAAATTTAACTTTGCATCATCTTGAAAAACTTTGTTTTGGGAATGTGGAGAACAACCTGTTGATGCAGGACCAAGTCTAACCTCAAAGTAATTAATTGTCTAGATAAAACAAATTATTTTGATGAATTTTATATTTTTTAAACACCAACAGGCCATAATGAAAATGAGTTTAAATGAAACAAAACTAAAAATTCTAAAAATGTAAGGAGTAGAATGTAGAGACAAATGAAAAAAAAATGTAAGAAGAAGTAAAAAGTTGTCTAAAAAATAATTACTCTAATAAAGTATAGATAGCCAAAATTTCTACAAGTACGGAAATTCAGTTCTTTTACAAGTAAGTAAACGAACATTCTGTACCTTGTTACTTGATACCTCTGCTGCTCTTAGATATTAAGAATTCAGGTTAACTTTTTTTTTCATATTGTAGTGTTTTGAATGCTCACTCACCATTACCCTGGTGTTTTATGGTACTTTGGAAGTTTATATATTTTAGTGCATTCTATTGTTAACTTTTGTTGTCTCATGTTGTTTTAGAAGATGCCTGTAGCTTACGTCTTGCAGTTTGGCCCTTATTCATCAAATCACATGATTTGGTTCACAATTATTTCCCTTTCTACTGGTTTTTCTCTGTACCATTTACTTTAGGTAAGGTTCAAACTTAGTATGCCTGTTAAGATGAACTTAGCTCATCATAACAAGCAATATCACATGGCAGAGCACAGACAGGTTGAGGGAAATTCTCACTTGCAAATAAGCCTCTATTCTTTGAGGTCTGCATCGCATAGTTACTGTGCTCACTCTGAAAAGATGTCAGCAGTTCTGTACTGAGAGAACCTTGCTAAATCATCCCTTTTCTGTCGCCACAGTCAATGCACTGCGATAATAAGCGATGATTCTGCCCACACAGTGGAATATATGCTGTTTGCAGTGAAAAACTTTTATCATCCTAACTGTAATCCAGTCAAACAATTTATCTATCTATCTATCTATCTATCTATCTATCTATCTATCTATCTATCTATCTATCTATCTATCTATCTATCTATCTATCTATCTATCTATCTATCTATCTATCTATCTATCTATCTATCTATCTATCTATCTATCTATCTATCTATCTATCTATCTATCTATCTATCTATCTATCTATCTATCTATCTATCTATCTATCTATCTATCTATCTATCTATCTATCTATCTATCTATCTATCTATCTATCTATCTATCGTTTGGACACACCATACGCTTTCCATTTATTTTCAATTTACCAACTCATAGAGCTCTTTAAGATCGAATCAGTGCTACAAAACATGGTCAATTTAAAGAATCTGACATATAAAATATCTTCTGTTTAGTATTTTTCTTCTTGTTATATAATTACAATACTTTCCATTCATAGTTTGGATGCCCTAACAGTGTATAAGCAACAAGAAAGAAAAAAATAAATTAAATACAATCTACCTCTGAATGATAATTTTAGTGCATCTCATCAAAAACCTTTTTAAATAAAAAATCTATTATTCTGACAGAAGGTATTAGTAAACAATAAAAAGAGTGAGTAAGGAACATGACAAATGACTAAAAAGTCTGAATACAACCTGGTGAAATAGAGGACTGTGCGTGATGGGAAGCCCCAGAGCATTGAGGCACATTCCCAGCACCATGTCATCTGGCGCATCATTGCTGTAGCACTTGCAGCCGCTTTTGAGGAGTTGGACCACAGCCTCCCTGCTGAACACCATGCTGCAGAAACAAATCAGACATTTATAATGAGGAAAATAAACATCTGCCACTGTACCAGCAAAATATATCAACAGTGTAGAAAAGCTTAGGAAATGGTTAAATGTTAGATATAGCTGCACCATATTATTACATTTTAACTTTTTAAAGTGTACAATCTTCCTAAAGTGAAATATTCTAGAAAGATTTGGTAATTCTTGTCTCATTAATATTTTTAAAGACCCAAATAGGTCCCATTTACAGTATTCTCATAGAATCCAATAGATGTGTTTAAAATGATCCAGTAAACAGAAGGTAATGTGCTCTGATAAGGTTGCCTGAGACTTTGGAAACATAAAAAGGCCCACAGCATCACAGAGGATGCCCCAGGGGTGTTATTTTTTTGTATGAATGGTGCCTTAGGTAGGCCTCTCCTTCTGCTACACCATACTCTACACACCCAAACACAAACCCTATAACACCCAAAAGTAAATAATGTTCTAAATAAGAAAAAATTACAAATAAAAACTGGTGACATGACTATTAAACTTAACCAGAAACATAAATAAGTAAAGATATTACAAATATTACCAGGAATCCAAAGCGCTTTACACTATAGTCATATTCACACACTGATGTTGGCAAGATACACTGTGGCAACTAGTGCCTTGGGGCAGGCAGACAGAAGGGAGGCTGCTAAACAGAGGTGCCACTGGGTTCTCTGACCACCATCACTAGGCAAAGCGGGTAAAGTGTGCTGCCCAAGGAAACAACAGCTGAGACAGAAGGTGGTGGGGTCCAGGAACCTGCCCTATGCAGGATGAACTCCTGCCTCCTACACCAATGCCACCCTGCTTGTGACTCGCCTAGGCTATTCTAGGGTTTGTTTCAAGAATATCCAAACAGCCCCTTAAAATGTGCTGCAAAATCTAATGCAAATATATGATTTAGAATATATATTATTGCAGTTAGGTGTAGGAGTGTGATTTTGATCATGAGGTATCTTATTTTAGTGATCTACAAATGGAACAACAGAGAGGAGAGTGCTTTTAATATATGTAAAAATGGCCTGCCACAGGTAACTTCATATGAACTTACGCATTAACTCGAGCAACAGTCTTCTCCTTCGCCATCTTCCTCTCCATTGCAGCTGCAATGCTGTTTCTCTGCCTTTTAAACACATTCTCCATTTTTTTCATTTCTGCTTTAAAATCTCTAGTTCCAGTGGTTTGAAATAGGCACTTCATGTTGCCATGGTTACTCATCGAATCTGGGCGCCACTGATAATGGCTTTTCATACTTGTTACGCACGTGCGTAGTTCTACTTGGTGTTAATTGAATTAATTCATAGCAGCTGTTGTTAAACAGAAAACTCAGAGTTCCTGACTTTAGGCATATCAATTTAAGAGTTGCGGATTTGAATCTGAGTTTGCTAAACCTGCTTCGTGAAACGGACCCCTGTGTCAACTGTTAGGCTACATGTTAATCCTGTTTTGAGTTACATCTTAGTTAACTATTTCCGTTTGGTGGCTTTTTCGATTTTCTCCAATCCATTCCCCTATAATATGGTTTTCCACTTGGTCATTCTTTGTTTTCTGGTCATTGGTCTTTTTTCCCTTTGCACTGGGTCCTCAACCTACTTCTGCTAAACTCAGAGACTGTTTTTTGGTGTGAATACACCCCAAGCGCAAAAAGCCATTAGAAATACATATGATTTAGTTATATAAAAATCAGGCATTCTAGTTGCAGTCTCCTGAGGTATTTGATAACTATTTGTTGTGGTCCTCAAAAATAAAAACTAGGTCATGTTAGCGGTTCATTTTCCTTATTCATTTCTAGAGATGCACCGATCCTGTCCCTGGATCAGATATGGGCTTTAAAACTGTTTAATCGCTGTATAGAATATCAGTGATTTCATATTAAATATCAGAAATTTCATTTCAGTGAACTTTACATTGAACTGTTATTTATTTTTGCTGATTATTTGTTAAAAATAATAAAAAGTGCATTTATATTTGTGTCAATGTGTCACATTTTTTTTAAACAATGTTCACATCAAGGCTAAGGTCTTCAGTTACATGGCAAAATGGTTCATCCATTCAGCAGCTGCATCAGATATCAGATATGCTCAGCCCAGGTATCGGACTGGATCAGAGCAAAACTGGATTGGTGAATTTCTATTCTTTAGAAAATGTTCCTCAAATGTTGTTTGTAATCATTTGTTGGAACCACTTCAAGTTTTCATCATATATAAGGTAAAAAAAATAACTTAAATTTATTTGACAGGTGTACACTAATAACCATATAACCTTAAAGGTGACACCAATGTTAACTGTAATGTGAAGTCTGGTGTAATTACAGAAAATTGCTGATTTAAAACACAGGTTGAATACCTAGACTCCAGAACAAGAGTTGCTATTAACAAACCTGTAATTTTTAAGGAGACTTGGTGACCTTGTCACTCCTTGCTTCCGTTTCTTTACTAGTGAGCTTTGTTTTTATACCAATCTAAGCCTCTTCCCCACTGTGTGTAGTGGCAGGATAAATAAGGGGGCTCAGCCAAGCCTAGCGGCCAGCCGTTTAGAGAAACACACCTCTCCAACTGGTCATATTTATACCATAGGAACACCTAAATATACACTATGGAAGCTTTAATGTAATTTCTAAGAAACCAATGTGTGAAGAAAAGCCTTACTTGAGTAGTAAAATGATATTACCATGAGTAATTTTGTTTAAAACATTTTTTTTTTCATTTTCCCACTGAATACATATTTTCAAATTAAATACTAAAAGTTTCTAAATTTCTTATTAAATGAAAACAGAGGGATTCTTTTAAAGTTTTTTACACACCTGCGATGCCATCACATTTGTTGACATTTGTACACTATTTTTGAACTGAATTTAATTGAATACCAGGTGTAACTTTCAAGTTTGTGATTCTAAATTAGATTAATTCGTAAAGAAGAAGGCAGGGCAGAGCAAATCTGAAACTGAGCTGACTCTTTTTAGAAATCAGCAAAGGTTGAAAAAAGAAAAAAAGAAAAAAAAAACTGTAACTTGGCAGAAAAATCACATATAGCCCATCTGATCTTTTTTTAAGTGGGTGTGGGCTGACACTTATCCTGTGCCACAAGGTTCTCAATAGTAAAGTCTTTAAATAGATTCTCATGCACATCTCACTCAAAGTACAGAACTCCTCTTATATACAAAATTTGGAAAACAACAAATAACTTCATCACAAGGATACAGAATAACAAAACTAGGGCTTTATGACATATGTTTTTTTGTTGATCTGCCCATTCCTTGATAGATTTTTAATTAGCATTTTTAAAAGAATCCTGGTAAGCACTGCACTGTTTTTTTAACAGTCAATTAAGGCTATTTATTGTTTTTGCTCTGGGATGAATCATTACAAAACTATTTCATTTATCTATCTGTACTGCAGCCTGTAAACATGGTGTTCCTTAGAGCACACTTAAATCAAACTGCAAAGGTTAATCTGTAAATTAGAAGGGTGTTAAAGCATTGCATGCTTTATAAGTCATCTGCTGCCTACTTATCTCCATCACTGTCATTTCCAAACCATCTGAGCAGTCAAACTTACCCTCCACCTCCTGTGATGTAACTGTAACCACCTTGGCTCAATCCGTAGCCGTATCTCTCTCCGAGGCACACAGGCACAGAGGGGTCGTAGCAGCTCAGCAAGACTCGTAGACGGGGGAGGCTGTGAAAAGCACAAGTCAAAGACATGACACACACTCTCATCACACTCACGAGCGTGTGGTTAAATGACTATGAAATGCTCCACTTAAAGGCTGGGGTAATCTTTCTCCTTTCCAGTGCATTCCACTTGAAAGGAAACCTAACTGCAGGTGAATCCAGCTGGGGATGTGATTTTAAACCTTTGACAGGATGTTAAGGGACTTCATGCGTTCAAGTATTTCTGTCTTTTACTGTGCAAATCTTTTTAAAGCTAGAACTAAATCTGCAGAAAAAAGAGCAACTGAATATAAGTCAGTTTTGAGAAACAGAAAACCTAAAAAAAAAAAAATAGAATAAAAAAACGAATCTGCATATCCTTTTAGCAAAAACAAATATTCGATATTTTAAAATATTTCTATGCCATCTTACCTGATGAGTGTATCGTCATCCACAATAACAAGCCACTTGGTGTTAGGGACAGCGCTGCTTAGGAATCTTTGAAGGATTGCAAATGTTTTCCCACAGTGACCTATAAAAGGAGAAGAGCCATCAGCAAAGAGGACAGTATGACTTAATCACATATTGACCATGTGCAGAGCTGTGGTTTGCAACGATAAATTACCCTTTTAGAAAAAAGAAGCACTACTACATTTGTTAAAGTGCACATGAATGGGCTTAAAAAAACTTAAAATCGATGAACAAAATGAAGGTCAATTAATTATTTTAACACTTAGGAGTTGTAAAAGCAAGAGGATAACTCCATTTGCAAGCAAACGTATTGGGACCAGTGCAACCTTTTTTTTTGTCACTGATACCTAATAACAACAAATCTCATTGTATTGTATTTAGATGTCATGTGAGAGATCGACATAAAGTAGTGGATAAAAGTTAAAGATAAGAAAGAATATGAGAAATTATTAGTGAATGCATGCTCTGATAAATAAAAAACAAACAGAAAATCTACTATAACTCATTGCATTCAGAGGACACCTAATTAAAAAACTGCAGTTCCCCTGTGTGTAATTTAGGCTTATAGTAGTTTACTCAAAGTGGAACATGGTAACTAACCATAAAATGTTTAGAAAACCAATGTATGCACTTAAGTGCAAATAGCACCGTGGAATAAGCTGTTGTACATATGTGGTACCCTTTAGTGGCATTGCCACACAATAAAAGCCGTTTGAAAAGAAAAAAAAATGGACATGCACAGACAGATTGTGAGAAGTAAGCAGAGCACCCGGGCTGCAAAGAGACACATGAAGGATAAAGAGAGGAATGTAATTTCATTTAAAACAGGGGCAGCTTGCATCTTTTGCTCCCCCAAAAGGTTGGGTCCTTTTGGATGCAGAGCCTAAATAACAAAATTTCTTTTTTTGTACAACTAATCACATCTTCATGTGGATGTGCCTGTATTCTTTCAAGTTGTTCTGGAAACTTAGATGGTTGTTCCAGAATATTAATAAACAAACAACATCATGAAGACAAAGGAAGGCAGCAGATATCAGAGAAAAAGTTGTGATCATTTGGGTTGGAGAAGTTTTTACAGACCATGGTTCAGTCCAACATCCGAAAAAAAATCTAAAGAATAATTTTAAATTAACTTAACCTTTGCAAACATGCCAGCCTTGCATGTCAGGTTAAAAAGGAATTACTCTGCTTTCAATGAAGGTTCACACACTGAGTCCTCACTGCTTTGCAAAGAAGAATAGACAATCTCTAGATTAAGACTCTATGAACAGCAATTGTATTCGTTTGTAAAAAAATAAAAATAAAGTAAAAAACAGAAAAAAAAATTAAATCCATTCACAATTGGATTTGGATATTGCATAAAATCCCAATTTATTTTAGAACACAGTGGTGTGTGGGGCTGTAATTTCACAAAACACAAGAAAGTAGCTTTTGCAAGGCACTCAGAAACAAACTAAACAGAGCAGGAGCTTTAAAAAAAGATTCTATGACATGAACTTTAAGGAGTTTAACTACAATTACTACAAGGACTACTGTAAAAATACTAAACAAAAAAAAAAAACGCTGCAGAATAAGCACTACTTTGTGTATGCAACTTTTGCTTGACAGCTTTTGGAATTGTAACCTCCACATGCAGCACTTTTGCTTTCTCAAGGACACCTACTGTAGTGTACATTTGGCTTTGAGTGCACACATCATCTTCTTCTGAGATTGAATATGTCAACTCAGGTTTACACTGTCTTTGCTTCAAATTATTCATATTCGTAAAAGCTGGTTTGCTCTTTAATTGAAATAACTCCTGCAAGTTAGACATATTCTTCAGAAAAACTTCAGACTAAACAAGTGAACTTGGTGACATGCTAGAGGAAATCATGAGAGTATGGCAGGACAGTTCACAAAGATAAAATGTTTACCCTGACATGATTCACATGAAAACGAAAAAACAAAATAAGGTGTAGTAGTGAACAAAACATACCAAGAGCTAAGAAAGATGAACTCTCTAGATTTTAGATATCTACACACCGTCAGGGCTCACAGCAGAGGCACAGAAATCCCCAGTGGCATACATCACTACAAATCCTCAGACCCTGCTGTAATATTTATGAGGAACCTTAGGCATTTTTTTTTCATGTCTGAATATGGAATGAGAGAGGACGCTGACAGAAATATAATCCCAAATCCCATTCTATAAGGCAGATCTTCAGACAAGTCTAATCCTAAATCAAGCAGGACCTGGTAAGTAAACCTCACATACCAGGGAGATTAAGTAAATGACTTCTTCTGTAATTTAAATTATCACAAAATCTTCCCACAAGATGTCTTCAGGTTAAATGATCAACTCTTTACTTTTGTTATACATTTTTTTAAGTTGATGTAGAGTGGGGACTCAGTAGAATTTTCTTGTTGAAGTTCTTCTGTCACAATTTCATGGTCTTGTGTCATCCTGTCCTTACTTTGCTCATACTGCTCAGATTGTCAAAATACACATTTTGTGCCAAGGTTTTGGTTTTTCACCTGATTTCGTATTTCTTTGTGACAGCAGGATGACCAGCCAGATGGTATTTTAATTAGGTCACCGAGGCAACATGGAGAGTTGGCTCCCTTATTCTTCCCTTTGGAATAATTTTGTCAGTTTTCCAGTCATCCTCTTCTTTTAATGCTTTACTATTTTACTTGTGGAAACATACTTAAATATATACACTGACAATGAAATAAAAATAAACGCTTTATTACTACAGTCACAGTTATGCTTTGATCCCAAGCTAATTCAGACACCACATACTTTTTCTTAGGCCTTATGGGAAATCAGTGGCATAAACATCTTAATTCCTGTAAGAAGACTTGATGGCACTAATATTGTGTATAAGCGCTTAATTTTCAACCAAAGAAGGTCTGGCTATCATCGAAACATCTGTCAATTTTATGCATGACGCTGTGAAAGTTTGCATCTGCATTTTAAATGGTCTAAGTATAGACATATCAACTGTACCCATGATGCATTTCAGGTTTGATTAAATTATATATCAGTGTTTCTCCCTGTAAATATATAAGTGTCTTCTTGCACCAATATTTTTGTACATTCTGATGATCAGCATATTGTATGTTCTGCATATTCATGAAGGGAAATAAACATAATGTATTGCACCTGCTGTTCTGCTGATTTTATAGTCATAATATTTGATGTACCTTTTTAGGTCATCAACTTATTGCGGGGGGTGAGGTTTGCATGCATTTTTACAGTACATACACATGTGGAGAAGATTGTTGGTACGTCTAATGAAAAAAAAATCCCACGTTGGCCTGTTTCATGTGTGTTCATAGACTTTTCTATTTATTATTACTTTTGCAAGTTATTTTTGTTACCATTGTGGGGTTTTCCTTCATCAAACGAGGGGCACCAACAATTTTGTCCTTAAAGGAATAGTACACCCAAAACATGATTAGCCTTCATTTTCTACTCACCCCCATGCTGAACAACACTCTGGAGTACTTTTTTGATATCTCAAATGCATCTGGAGATCTGGGAGGCTTCTTGCTGTCTGCTGAAATTCAAATAATGGAGGTCCATGGCGCCCGAGACAGACAGGTCCATAAAAGTCCACAAAAAAAAGTGTCAATATTCCTCCATACTGCTCGTCCAATGTATTCCAAGTGTCCTGAGTGGGTAGCATCCAGAATTTACTCGACACAAAGTAATTTAGAATGTTTTTAGAGCATAAACAGTAGTGTATAGGATTTCCTGAAAGCGCGCACATGCGCGTTCATGACGCTACGGAAGCCGGCAGACCAAACCAGATGAAAGTGCGCATTCAGCGTCTGCTCTGCCAATAATGCAAGCGTAGAAGAAGAAATGTGCTGTTTACCTGTGCAAAGAAAGAAACAACGAAAGAAAAATGTCTGAGGACTTCAGTGTTGAGGAAGAGCATGAGTTCTTTGCCGAGCTGAATGCGCTGGTTTGGTGTGCCGGCTTCCGTAGCGTCGTGATCGTGCATGTGCGCGCTTTCAGGAAATCCTATACACTACTGTTTATGCTCTAAAAACATTCTAAATGAATTTGTTTCGAGTAAATTCTGGATGCTACCCACTCAGGACACTTGGAATACATTGGACGAGCAGTATGGAGGAATATTGACACGTTTTTGTGGACTTTTATGGACCTTTCTGTCTCGGGCACAATAGACCTCCATTATTTGAATGTCAGCAGACAGCAAGAAGCCTCCCAGATCTCCAGATGCATTTGAGATATCAAAAAAGTACTCCAGAGTGTTGTTCAGCATGGGGGTGAGTAGAAAATGAAGGCTAATCATGTTTTGGGTGTACTATTCCTTTAAGTTTGTTGGCAAAGTTTTTAGAAGAACAGACCTGCAGTGCCATGAATGGTATTTTGTTCTGATTTTATTTGACAGACCAACACAAATTATGACACAATTGTGAAGTGGAAGAAAGATTACGATTTAATATAATAAAATGAAATATATATATATTTTCCGCACAACAGCTCAGCTCATGATGTTTGAAATAAGATTAAGGGCATGAACAACATCTAACTTCGGTTAACTTACGGATATTATCTCAGTTAAATGGCTACGTTGTAGCACTAACTAACTTGGCTTTGTTAATAATTATTGTCCTGCGTAAAATTCAAATCTATTGTAAAGCATCAATCAGATTTTCTTCCAGGAACCCCCCCTCCTTTGTGTTATTCTTAATAAGTCTTCTTATTCACTTAGTTTTAATGCTATAGTGTGTTAAATATGTAAACAAAAAAGTGCATTTAACACTGATTTGATTAAAATGACAACAAAGTGTTCCGTGCCAAGAGATCCTGAAGGGCAGCGCTACTGTAACTGTCGAGGTTTAGCAGAGGTTCCACTGGATGTCGAGGCTGTGCCTATGTGCAGAGTGGTGACTGCACTGCTGCAGCTGATCGCAGCAACTAGTAGTGGAGGTCAAGGGAGGCTTTGTTGAGCCCACTGTGTCTTATCAGTTTGAGCCGCTTGATTTGAGGTGCAAACTCAGTGATGAGGCCGGTGCTTCTAAAGCAGGGGAGGACAGGATTGC